GGTGCAGGTTCACACCTCCTCAGATGTACGTGACCACATCACGTCCCTTAGCCTAGACGACTGGACCCCCGCCCCCCTTTGCTTCTACCCAGCTCCCCCGCCTCTAGTAGCCTCAGTTCATCAGTCATTGAATATGAGAAGTTTTAGTCAGGCCAGATACATCGGTTGTGTATTGCTGCTGTCATATGTTATCATGAAGAGAACAGCGACACGATCCACGTCTCCAGGTGCAGAAGTCAGCTCCATCAGCGGGCTCTGCAGTTCGCTCTGCTCCTGATCCCCCAAGGTCAACTCAAGGAGGTGGCCAGCAAGGGTTCCTCATCTGGAGGCTGTGTTACAGCAACCCCAATGTGAAACAGGGTGGCCTGACGGTGGGTCCTCACCTGGCGCTTGAAAGGCATTTATATGAGACTCAGCTGCAGACACATACAAAAAGGGTAATAAAGGGTTTATTTATAAAAAGGGGAAATGAAGAAATTAATAACTCAGGGAGAAAGCGAGAGATAAACTGTTGAATGTGTTCCACTGAGCTGGGACCCCAATAGCACAAAAACCAAGGACCCCCAGGGCCCACATGTCAGGTTACACCAAGCCTGGCTGCTTGACTCCACCCTCAGTTCCCAGCATCCTCCCTTTGGAGGTGATAACATGGGATTTGTAGTCCTTGGTGCCTTGGGTCTCTTTGGTCTGGGGTGGGAGTGGGGTCCATAAAACCTATTTGTGGAGTTCATTCAGGACATCCTCGCCCCCTGCAGCTGGGGGAGCAGGGAGATGGAGGGAGTGCTCCCGGGCTCCTCCAGCTTATTAGCAACATTCTCTTGGGGTCTGTCTTCTAGCTGTGAGCTGGGTGCTTCTCTCAGCACTTGTGTTCCTTGTACTTTGTGGCCCCCCACCCCCACCCGGGCCTTCAAACCAGCAAGGCCACCTCCAGTCCCTCTCCTGCCCCAAGTCTCTGAATCCTCCCCCTGCCACATCTCTCTCACTCTTGCTAGAGAGCATCTCTGCTTTTAAGGTCTGTTGAGGCCGGGCCTCCCAGGTGGCACAAGGGGTTAAGACTCAGCACTATGAAGCTATGGGCAGCCGCTGCAGCACAAGTTTGATCCCCGGCCAGGGAGCTACCCACATGGCACAGCAGACCTCTCCTGCCTCCCCGCTGCTCCCCTCAGCAGTGTATTTCAGTAGATCCGCCTGTTCTGCCCCCCGCTCTGTCTCTGGTAAATCCTCTCACCCCCTGCACCTCCAGCCTGTACCCCAGCTCTTGTGTGCATAAATAAATCTTTTTAAAAAAAGGCATTGTGAGATTAGATTAAGCCTTGGCCAATAATTCAGGATAATCTTCCCATTTTAAGCTCTGTAACCTTAATCACATCCGAAAAATTCCTTTCACCATGTGGGGTAGCAAATTCACAGGTTCCAGTGGTTAGGAGGCGAGAGAGGTGGCACGCTTTCTGTCTACCATGTAAGATAAGTATCCTGAAGAGACAAAAAGCAGGATATAAATCAGGGCTCCTCAGCACTGGCACCACTGACCTCTTAGAATGGATGCTTGTCGTGGGCACTGGCCTGCCCGGTATAGGAAGCTCAGCAGCGGCGCTGGGCTCTGTCCACTAGAGGCTGGTGGCAACTCTGGCCGCTCAGGTCAAGAGAAAACATCTCCAGACATTGTCAAATGTTCCCTGAAGGTGGAAGCCCCTACTTGCCCCCAGCTGAGAATGCACACACAAGCACACTTCCACACAGGCACACTCACACACGGGCTGCACAAAGCTGCAGTCCCAGTTTTGTAAAAAAACAAACAAAAAACCCACAAAAACCAGCCTACACACAGAGTAACAAATAAAGGAGGAAATATAAAGTGTTCATGGTCGTCATTGTGAGTTTTGTCATAATGCTTAGCTTATTTTCTTTATGATTTTCTATGCTTTTCAGGTTTGAAGAGCTATTGCTTTGAAGCATGATTTCACCAAGCAAATTTTCTGCAAATAGATTTTCCAACATAAAATCTGTGTCTTCATTTGTCGAATTTCTGCTTGATGACTCTTCACTGTCCTTCCAGTGTGCTGTGGAATTTTTTTTTATCTCTAGTCATAACTTTAATTATGTTTTTCTCTCTTATTTGTCAGGTTTTTGAGTCAGAATATACAATCGATGCCTAAAATTAGTCAAAGCGTTCGTGGAATTAGCTGCGCCTTCAGTGTGAAGGAACGTCCTGCTGATGGTCTGGCTGCTCAGAACCATTTTGCAAGGTAATTGCTCGAGAAGTTTTTTCAGCAGTGTCTTGATGCTAGGGCATTTCTACTTCATGTTGAGTCCATGTTAGCAATTTATACTTTTCCAAAAAGCATAGACTTTGGATATTGACGTTTATTAGATATGATCTGATATAAGATACATTACAATGGGTTGTAATTCCAGTCTCATCTACAGTCACCTCTTCTTCCTCCCTGGGTTACTGTTGCAGCAGCCGTCTGCTGAGTGCGTCAGTCCAGCTACACCAGGCAGTGGGGCTCGACGGCCAGTCCTGGTGCCGTCATGTTTGGATTTTAGGGAAAAAAAGAAAAAAACATGGCAGTCTGGAGACACATAGGTCAGGTTTGAACCTGGCCAGTGCCATTTAGATACAGCAATGCCCACCTGCCCGTCTCTTACACAAGACAGATGCATTGCCAGGGTTTTTGTTTTGAATCCTGAGCTGGTTTCAAAAGTGAACCAGGTCCGAGCTCCCACTGGCGCCAGTTAGGTTCAAGCTTCCACCGGCACCAATTAAGTCTTGGAAACAGCTGGTTTGGAAAATGGACCAATGAGATTTGACAGTAACCTGGAGGCTCGACTCAGCTTGAGGGCTGTTGGTGGGTGAACAGAGAAGGCTCCTTGGGGGAGGAGCTGCTTGGCAAGCCTGGAGCCAGCTTCAGGGGAGAGCTTGCTTTGGGCAGGTTGCAGTTGGGTCAAGAGAGGCTGTCTGGGAAGGCTTGAGTCAGTCGAAAAGGTTTGACTCGGCTTGGAGGAAGCCTCAGGAGGAGAGAGACTTTGATTTCAGGAGAGCCACTCCTGCCGTGTGGCCTCAGCAGCCCCTGCGCGTACCCCAGGTGCCGCAGGTTAGCTGGGTCCTGGCCCACCACTTGCCGGCGTGCCAGCAGCTCCAGGCTCTCAGCACAGGGACAGCTGCGTCTTGCAGGAGCAGCTTTTGGTTTGGACTGTTGGACACTCTCTCGGGTAGAACAACCAGCCACTCGTGGCCTTGGAAACTCTGTCCTTATCCCAGTCTCCCCTTTATAAATGAACCCCGTTGCTGCACCCTGAGATTGAGCTGTGTGAGCGCGTGGTGAAAAACCTGCAGCGATCATCTCAAGTTTTACTCTATTTCATCCAACCACATTGAGAAAGACAAATGTTGTCTGATCTCTTTTACATGTGGAATCTAAAGGAGTTGAATTCCTCGAACCGGGGGGCAGAACCGTGGTTATCACAGGCTGGGAGGCAGGGAAATGAGATTCTGGCCGAAGGTCCTGGGCACTGGCAGAACCAGGGCGGTGGTTCACGTTTTCCTACCTCTGGTTCACAGATGCTTCCGCAAGACAGTCCCTTCTTGCCTGCCAAGATCTGTTGCCTCTCGTTCCGCGGTGCTGGGTTTATACCCCCGTTTCCATCACTAACATGAGGACAACACATCGGTCCCGGGGGCTGTGATGAGGATGAGGTAACACTGGGAAAGAATGTGCAGGAATCCACGAGGTCAGGCCCTTAGCTGGGGGCTGTGTCCGGGCCGCTCTGTTTCCAGTCACAGGCTTAGCACAGGGCTTGGCTGCAGGGATGCGTGGACAGCACTTTCTGAGTGGAGGAAGAATGGGGGGCAGGTAGAAATCGGGAGTCAGATTCCAGACCTAGGAGTTCTGGGAGATCCACAGAGGCCCCTTCTCTGACCCTTGTCCACAGCACCTTCCTCTTGCCCTCGCCAAGCTTTTTCCACTTCCCCATCCCTCTCCCACCACCCCCCACCCCCAAGGCTTAGCGCCAGTGAGGTCTTCTCCACCCACGGGGCATCGGGGCTGCTAGGTTCATCCAAGACCTGAGCCAGGATGGCAGGGTCCACAATGTGGGCACTTGGGTTCCTGGCAGGCACACAGACCAGGGAGGAGGGTGGCTGGAGAGCATGCTCTGCCCGCAGGGCCTCCCCTGTCAGCCGGGCAGCTGAGGCTGCACGTAGCCCAAGGCTGAGCCGGTGGCTGGGAGCGACCCCCGGCCCAGTCTGCCAGGGGGACTTAGAGGGAAGATCCAGGACTTTGGTGCCAAGAGATGCCCCAGCCACGGATCCCTCGCTCTGCGACACTTCTCAGTCCCAGAGCCCTGAGTGGACTCCAAGCCCCCGGGGTCTTCCTGGGGGGGCAAGAAGCGCGTGTCGCGGCCCCTCACTCAGCGGCTGGGGCCCCAGAAGGGAGTCAGAGCGCGGGCTGCCTCCTTCCTCTCCCCCCGGGGTCTTGGGCTCGCGCGCCGGGTACCCCGGGAGCTTCTGCAGCAGCGCGGCGGGGAGGACAGCGATGGAGCAGGAGAGGCGGGGCCGCCGGGTGCGGCGAGCAGTTGCGCTCCTGGCCTCCGTCTCCTCCCCAGCCAGGACGGCCACAGGGGCGTCCTGGGAGCAGGCAGTGGGGGCTCTGGGGTCCCCAGAGGAGGGTGTGACTTGGGGTACGGGTATGGAGAGCTCGTCTGGAAGCCGCACGCGCTGGCAACACGGGCGGACAAAGCCTGGGCGTGGGGGGCGCGGCGCGCGGGGCGCAGGCGGGGGGGGGGGGGCCAGGGCCGGGGCGGGGCCGGGTCCGCGCCCGCACGTCCGGGGGGCGGGGGTTGAGGCGAGCAGCCCCCCCGCCAGCCGGAGCCGCGCGCCCCGCGGACGGAAGGGGGCGCCGGCGCGCGGGCCCCGAGGGGGCGGGCGGGGCGGGGCCGGGCGCGGGGATCGGCGGAGCCAAACTTCCGGCGCTGCAGCGCGGCGGGTCGGGGTGCGGGCGGCGGCGCGGGGCGCGGGCGGCCATGGTGAAGATCAGCTTCCAGCCCGCCGCGGCCGGCGGCAAGGCCGACAAGGCCGACAGGGCCGACAAGGCCGACAGGGCCGCGGCGTCGGCCCGGGCGCCCGCCCCGGCCGCGGAGGTCCTGCTGGCGCCCGCCCGGGTGAGAGGCGCGGGGGCGCGGGGCGCGCGGGGCGCGCGGGGCGGGCGGAGCGGGGCTGGGGGTCCCGAGCGGCGCGCACCCCGCATTGGGGGGTTTGGGGTCCCCTCCTGGAGCGGCGGCCGAGAGCGCGGGTCGCGGAGCGGGAGGGTCCGAGCGCCGGTGCCGGGTGCGGGGCGCCCGGGCCGTCCGAGGGGAGCAGCCCCCGAGCGGGAGCCGGGAAGTTCCGGCAGTGGCGGGGGGCCGCGGGGGGCGGGGGGCGCTGGACGCGTGGCTGCGGGTCTCGCCTGCGGGGAGTGGGGTGTCCTAGCCCCAACGACGGGGACTTTGCCCCGGGGGCGGGGAAGGCGAGACGGGCCGCGCCTGACTTGGGGGACCCCGGGGGGATGAAATGGAAACAGCCGGGGCAGCCCCGCGGCGCGGCCGGGCCCGAGCGCCGGTGGCGGGTCGCGAGGCCCGGCGCCCCGTCCCCCCGCGCTCGCGCCCCCCTCGCGGCTCTCCCGGCTCGCGCCCGGCTGCACCCCGCGGGGAGGGCGCCCCACTGCCCCGAGCCTCCCTGCCGCCCGGGCCGGCGGGGCTTTGTGGGGCGGGCCTCGGCGCCCCCCGCCCCGCCCCGCCGGGAGACAGGCATTTCCGCCGCGGACGCCGCGCCCGGGGGCTGGGGGGGCTGGGGGGTTTGGGGGGGCGGGGGGGCCGCGCGGGGACGCGTGGCGGCGGGGCGGGCGCGGCCGGGCTGAGCGGTGCCGGGGCGAGAACGTCCGCGCAGCCCTGCCCGGCGGCTCGGGGCGCTCCCCCGGCCCCCTTGGCGGCGGACTCGGGGGCGCTGCGCCCGCGCCTCCCGCTGCGGCCCGCGGGGTCTTCCTCGGCGCCGAGGCCCCTCCCCGAGCGCACGCCGGGCGCAGCCGTGCCGCGGCTGGGGGAAGGGGCTGCCCGGGGGCGCCCCGAACCCTGATGCTGGGGCTGCAGGAGAGGAGCCTGGGGGGGCGTGGGGGGCTCTCGGCTGGAGCAGAGACCCTGCCCAGGAGTAGGAGGACCCCGGGGGCGCGCCCGCCCTGGGCAGCATCACGCCACGGGCCGGCTTGGGGGGCTGCTGTGGACTCCCCCCGGGAGCGCAGGCGGGGGCTCTTTCACAAGTTTGCACGGGACCCCTCCTTCGCAGAGGTAACCTCGCAGCCCGGGGGAGCAGAGGGGAGGCCCCGCCCCTGAGGCGGAGGGCGGCGCCGACCTTGGGAGATGCGGGTCTGACTCCCTCCCGAGGTCCCGAGTCACAGGCGTGGCCAGTCGGGGCAGCCGCCCTGCCCCGGGTCTGCGGGGGAGACGCGCAGCCCCGGCGCCCCGCGGTGCCTGCCCTTCCCCCCCCAGCGTGAATGGAAACATCAACAGCCCCCCGTGCTGGCGTAACAGCCTGTGCTGCTCCCCGCCGGGTCGGGCAGGCCCCCTGCCCTCCCGCTGGCCGCCGCGCTGGCCCCTGGAGGAGGATCCTGACCCAGCCCCTCTCGGATCTGCCAGCAGAGGGGCCTGCGGGGCTGCGTGCTGGCCTGGAGCTGCCTGCCTGGCCCTGGGCCTGGAGAGTGGGCTGCTGTGAGCTGCTTGCGGCCTGGGGGGGCACATAGCCCACGCTCAGGGCTGGAGGAGCCCAGAGGTGCCCAGCACGCGCCCATGTCGCTGGGCATTTATTAGGGCACCCCAGGAGAAGGTGTGGGGTTAGCAGGGGTGCCTGGAGCTGCACAGGACTTGGGGTTGACCCGTGCTGATGGGGATGTAGGGGGGAGGCTTATTGAAGGTGTCTTCTGGCCGGGGGGAGACCCCAGAGCCCCTCATGGTCACTGAACTGGACTCACAAAGAAGAGTGGAGGCCGTGGAGAGACCACTGGGCCACGGGATGCTTTGGGGTGCCTGTCAGCACTGCCCCCCTGGCTGTTGCTATAGGATGTTCAGTGCAGGGAGGGGGGCGCTGACAGCAGCCCCTTCACAGCCGGCTCCCCTGCTTCTGAGCAGACGTTCAGATGCAGAGTGGGGGTTGTCTCCAGACCTGCTGCTCGGAGAAAGGGCCGCCTTGGGCTGGGAAGGGCCGGGATGGGACCCAGCTGGGCCCGCCCACCTCCCCACGTGGTGATGGAGGCCCAGATAATGGGAAACCTGGGCCGCGGGGCAGCTGGCAAGAAGCCAGCTTGGAAAGTGGGCTGGTCAGAGGCCCGCAGTCTCTCTACCCCTTTGGAGGCCCGCTGGCCAGCCCTGCCCCTCAGCCCAGCTCCCCTCTCCCGACTCCCAGTCTGTTCTGCGGGCTGCGCGCCCACACCCACGTGCACGCACACGCAGGCTCCACTCGCAGACTCAGGCTGGGGCTGCCGGAGGGAGACCTTGGCCAAGGCAGACATCCCCCTGGCTCGCGCCTTAGACGAAAGGCCCCGTGTCACCCCTCCCCCAGCCTGCACACCTGGGGATCAGGTTTCATTGTCCCAGTCCTGGCCTCTGGCCCTTGGCAGGAGGAGCTGGACTCCGGAGTGGTTGGGGGAGGGTGGCTCTGCTGGCGTGTGGTCCTCCCACCCCAGCTCCCACCGCTGCCAGGGCCTGGGCTGAGAGGACCCCCTGGGTCCTGCCCTGGCCTTCCCCCAGCAGCTTGGCATGGGGCACACGCCACCACGACTTCACTGCCTCTGTGTGTTTCCCTCCTGTCTGTTCCCGTGGCCTGTGTCTCAAAGCTGTCTCCCCACTGCCAGGAAGGATGAGTTTCTCTTGGCGAGAAAGAAATGTTTATGGTAAGATCAGGGCAGCCCAGCTTCCCACCCCCTGCAGCCACTCGGCCCTCCCAGTGGCCTCTGCTCTGCCTGGAGCTTTTGTTCTCTGGAGTCTCCAGTCTCCACTATCAGGAAGGGCAGGGGCTGGGAATCCTCCCGGGCACGCAGGGCGGAGGGAGGGACGGGGCTGTTCAGGGCTCCATGCTGACTTGCTCACCCGGCAGGTGCTAAGGGTGGGGCTCCAGGACACAACCCCAGCAGCTGCCCTCTGCGGCTGGACTCAACTCTGCCTGCCCCCCACCCCCCAATAAGGCCCCTCTCTCACACACAAAATACTGCTTCTGAGCAAACATATTGGGGTCCCTGCCTCTGAGTCCACAACCTGGAGAAGAAAATTGCTGGGAAGCAGGTGATGCTGGGAGGCCAGGCGTCCGGCTCCCCGGTCAGCCTCCTCCCGGCAGCCACAGCTGAGGTTCAGCCCCACTGCAGTTCATTTGGACCTTGTCACCCAGGGGTGCGGGACACCCCCAGTCTGCTTAGTTCATGCTCCCCTTGGCAGTCTCCCCACCTGGGGGCAGGAGCAGGAGGACCCGGGCTTTAACTCCCCTCAAAAGCGCCTCAGTGAAGCAGGCGGACCTCAGAGGCCCTCGAAGTCCCCCTCCCATGCCCCCACGGTGTGCACCGGCACTGGGCTCAGGAAAGCCAGTTACCTTGGAAACTGCAATATTTTTCTTATTTCTGCATGGAATTCCCCCATGTCACTAACTGTCCACGGTGCTGTCTGCGGGGCATTTCCCTGGGTCTCCAGCCCAGCTGGTGAAGCCCTCTGGCCGAGGCCCTCTGCAGGGTGAGCTGGGCGGCCAGCTGACTGCTGGCCAGGCTGACTGCTCTCCCCGGCCTTGAGGGTAGGGAGCCTGGGTCTGGACAGCAGTGGTGGGGCCAGGAAGCAAAAGAGGGCAGACTTGGGCAAGATGTGGGGCCCTCCCCACTGTGAGGCTTTATGTCCTGAGAGCCTCTTGTCTGGCAGGCTCTGGCGCTGCTGCTGCCCTGGATCCTTGGGGGGTAGGAGGGGTGTGAGGCTGGGAAGGGGGCAGGGAGGAAGCCTGGAGTGTGCACCAAGGGGTTTGGCTAGGGTGAGGCTGGAAGCCATTTGTTAGGCCCAACCACTGGGGAGGGGGTAAGTGCAGGGGGTGGAAGGTGGGGGATCCCCGGCCTCTGCAATGACCCCCGGACAGACAGGTGTGGACTCAGTCGCATGGGGGAGGGGCCCTGGGTAAAGGCTTCCTCACTGTCAGCCACCTTGGCCTCCTCTCCAGGTCAGCTGTGGCCACTCAAGCCCCGCCTTCCCCCTCCCCCAACCTCCTCCACCCTCCCTCCCCCCCACGGGCCCTCCCCCAGCACCCAGCCCCGTGGGCCCGGCGGAAGCAGGAGAAGGTCACTGTGGCACCCATTGACCTTGTCCGTGAACTTGTGCAGCAGGCCCCGGGGTGTGCCCTTGTGCTTGGCTGACTTTCCCCCCATTGTTTTATTTATTTTTATTTATCCTTAAAGAGAAAAGTGGCCACTGTGCAGCCTCAACAGCTGTCCCCGGGTGGCCCTAGAAAGAAGGCTCCCCGATGCAGAGATGCTATTTTTGTCCGGCACTTTATCCTTTTCAAAGGGCCTTCGGATGCTTTGTCTCCTTTAATCCCGACAAAAGCCCTGCCGGGGAGCTTCTGTCCACATTTTGCAAGAGAACCCCGGTCCCCTGATTCTGGATCTGAACTCTGGGACCCACAGCCCCTCGCCCCAGCGCAGGCTACACCGCCGGTGCGGGGGCCTCACTGAGTCTGAAGCAGCTCTCGGACCCGCTCCCGGCTGGGGGACCAGAAGCACTCCTGCCCCTCTGAGGCATTTGCAGGAGCTCCTGGGGGGCTTGTTCCCACAAGCAGCTGTGGGGCCGGACTGTCGCTGCCCCGTGCTGCTCCTGGGAGTCCCCTGGACAGTCAGAGCCACGGCAGCCCCGTCCATCCCCTGACCGGCCCCTGCGGCATGTGTGCCAGCAGCCGCTGCCCCAGGAGCCCCAGGGTGCCAGGGAGATGCCAGCCAGGCAGGTGTCTCAAGCTTGCCTCTCTGGCCTTGATCCCAGAACCCCTGCGGCGGGGCTGAAGCTGGTGAGGCCCCAGCAAGCTCCCTGAGGGCAGACCCGGGCATGGGGTGTGGGGAGCAGGTGGGTTGGGCACCTCGCCATCCTGTCTCCATCCTGCAGTGCATAGGCTGCGGGGCCAGCTGGCCTGGTGATACGTGTGTCCAGTGAGGGGGAGGGTCCTGCAGGGCTTTCCTGTCCTTTTCCTGGCCGTGGGGAAGCCCCGTGGGGGGGAGTCCCCTGCTCTGCCCAGACTCGGCTTCCCGAGACCCAGAGCCCACACCCCCATGTGCTCTAAGTGGGGCAGCGCGGTGGGTAGAGAGGACTGAGGGACACAGCGGGCCCTGTGCCCCACCCCACGTGGGCCCCCCGTTCTTGCGGAGAGACGCGTCTGTCCTGGGTAACTTGGACCTGAGCCATGTCTCAGTCTAAGGATGCAGGAGAAGGGGTGTGCAGCGCCCAGAGGGCTCCGCAGACAGTAACAGGCACCTGCCGGAGCCTCCCTCCTACAGCCTTAGCTGGGGTGGGGGCCCTGGGTGGGTGCAGGCCTGGATTTGGGTGGAGGGGACAGGCGGGAAGACGGGAGGTCTGGCCAGGAGCCTTGCACCCTGGTCCCTAGACACAGGCCGGGCTCCTGAGTTGTACGCTGGCACCTTCATCTGCCAGCCCTGGCATGTGTGGCCTGGTGCTGGATCCCGTCAACTGGCTTTTTCCTGGCAGCCCGCGGCTGCTGTCTTAAACCTGGGTCCAGCTCCCAGAACAGGTTTTACCCAGCAGCGTCCTGCCCTGGCCTCCCTGCTGCCACTGCCACGGCCACCTCTCTCCTGGCAGCAGTGGCCTGGCTTATAGGAGCCTCCAGATGTCACCCTGCAGGCACCACTCCTGGTGGCCTGTTTGGCCGTGCCCTCTGTCGCTGCTGCGGGGCCATGGCTGCTGCGGGCAGGCTGGGCGCTGTGCCCATTGTGGACCAGAGGGAGATGACAACCCGTGCCCAGACCCCGAGCCTCCCAGAGCGCCATCCCCGTCAGTCAGTGACCACTCCCCGCCATGACGTCCCTGGCAGAGTCTGACACCCCTTCCTGCTACCCCATTGCAGTCTACCCTGTACACCCGTGTCCAGTTATGTTACCACTCCTCTGCTCAAGAGCCTTCCGTGGCTCCCTACTTCCCAGAGCAGTGACTCCCAGCCTGCCCCAGCCTGCCCCGTGGTCCTGAGCCTGTTGGTTCCCAGGCCTGCTGCACTCACAAAAGCCATGTCTGTCACCCTGGCTGACTCTGCTCTGCCTCCCCAGGAGGAGCGGCCCCCCTGCCACCGCTACAAGAAGGGGGGCTCTGTGGGCGGTGTGTGCTACCTGTCGATGGGCATGGTGGTGCTGCTCATGGGCCTGGTGTTCGCCTCCGTCTACATCTACAGATACTTCTTCCTGGCTCAGGTGAGGCGGGGTGGGGAGGGAGGCGGCCCTAGAAGGGTAGTAGCTACAGAGGAAGCAGTTTGTGGGGGGGTGGGGGTGAGCTGGGTGCTTGGGGCTGGTGATGGGAGAGACCCCAAGGAGCCCAGAGGTGCCCCCATGTCGGGGAGGTACCCGGGTCTGCCCATCCTCTGATCTCCCCAGGCCCTGGGGAAGGGTCCTGACCCATTTTTTCAGACTTGCCTGGGGTCACTGGGCACTTTGCCTGTCAGGGACAGGGGAGCCAGCCCTCCCCGTCACAGGACATCCATCACCTGGCCCTCCAATGTGCACCCCTGCCTGTCAGGGATGGGGCCCGGGTTCCAGGCTGGCTTCCCCATCCCTGGCGTCACCCACCGGGAACTCCACGATCCCCATAGAGGCCAGGCCCTTCGCCAGGTTTTAAGGATTCCATTCCACGCTTGACCTTTGGGGTCCAAAGCAAAGGCGGGCGGGGCGTTTAGAGACAGTTCGTGTGCCCGCTTATCTGCTCACCCAGCCAGCCTGGCCCTGAGCTGGAGAACTTGGCACCTGGGGCACAGGCAGTGCCACCGAGCTCAGGACTGCAGGGAGTCCCGTTAAAGGGGACTCAGGATAAGCGCAAGCGCCCTGGGCGGGACTGTCACAGCTGCCAGGGCTGGGAATTGCCAGTCATTTCTGGCGCAGGTGCCGTCCCCCCAGTCAGGCGCTGGGCTTTGATCTGTCACCGGTGGTTCCGTGATGGAAATTCCCAAGGAGCTTGTGTTCCATGGGCCTTCCCCTGGAGCCTCCGGGCCCACACGCTGGCACTTCTGCTTTCGTTGTGATCTCCTGCTGTCCCCACCCCCGCGGCCCGCTTCCCACTCTCTCTGCGTGGGACCCTTTCCCCACCTCCCCCAAAAGCCCCTCCACCTCTTGCTGCCCCCTCTGTTGCTGCTACCCCAATTCCCAGGGAGTGGGGGCACCGCAGAGCAGCTCTGGGACCTGAGGTCTGGCTCATGGGGTCCATGTGTGGTGGGTGATCTGGCTTCCCGGGCACGTCCCCGGAAAGGGGGAGTCTGCCTGCAACAGGCCAGCCTACAGCCCCCTCCCACTGCGCCCCTTCCCTGAGGGATGGGGTAACCAGGTTGGCTGCTGAGGCCGGGGGCCCGGGAAGCTGATGGCTGGGTGTGGAGTTAGCATGGTGCTTCCACCCCGACCTAACTGGGCTGCTCAGCAACCCCCACCTCTTGTGGCCCCCCAAGGTCTGCAGGCCCTACAGCAGGGGAGCAGGAAAAATGGGGAGCACCCTCTCCCCTCTGCAGGGGCCCCAGCCTGTCCGACTCAGAGCTCCTATGTTTGCCCCTCAGGCCCTCCCACCCAGCCCTGCCCTTTCCAACTTGTCTGTCCCCCTGTCGGGGACACAGGGTCCTCCCCATTTCACAGTCAGACTCAGAGACCAGAAGAGACGGTAACCTCATTACAGATGGGGAAACTGAGGCCCTGAGAGGTCATCCACTGAGGAGCCCTCCGACCTGTGGCCCCTCCCCGACCCCCCAGTCTCAGCCTGTGAAAGGGTGTGAAAGGGTCTTGCAGTCCCGCCTCACACCCCCGGCCCTCGGCACGGGGCGGCTGGGCAGAGTGGGCGTGCCCGGGGCACCCGTGACCGGTCCGTCCGTCCCTCCCCGCCTTGCGCAGCTGGCCCGAGACAACTTCTTCCACTGCGGCGTGTTCTACGAGGACTCCCTGTCCTCCCACCTGCGCACCCGCATGGAGCTGGAGGAGGACGTGAAGATCTACCTGGAGGAGAACTACGAGCGCATCAACGTGCCGGTGCCTCAGTTTGGGGGGGGCGACCCTGCGGATATCATCCACGACTTCCAGCGGGTGAGGCGCCAGGGCTTCGGGGGGCGGCGCAGGGCAAAGGGCCTGGAGGACCCAGAGCCCCTTTCCTCCGAGACTCCCGAGAAAGGAGAACTGGCGCCCTCTGGGTCCACTCTGTGCCATACGCTGGGTGTGGGGGTTCCGGGCTTGAAGGCTGTGCTGCCCGCGGCGACCGCTTGAGCACAGGAGCCCGCCGGGGTTGGCTTCTCCTCCGACAGCCGCACGCGGGGCTGTCCCGGGCCAGGCCTGGCTCCCTGTCCGGAGGTGCTTCTGTGCCGGCATCTCCCCCAGGTTCGCACCTGCACCTGGTGCAGGGGCCACATTCATGGGATGCCACCCAGATCGAGACCTAGAGCAAGCCCAGCGATCCGGAAGGCGCCTGGCACGCCTGCCCAGTCAGAACCCCACCAGGGGTGACCGTCCTTCACACTGCGGTTGCCGGGGAAACGCCGGCTCCCTGGATCTCACCCCAGGGCTCCCCATGGCTTCGTGGGCCTCTCCCCAGACCTGGACATTCCGGCAACAGCTGTCCCCAGGGTACCTGGGACAGGGCCTCTGTCAGAGATCCCAGACCACCCACAGGGGTGGCCAGGCCTTGCGGGTTTGATAAAATGCAAAATTGGGATGTTACCGTGTTCCCCAAGCCTCAGCACTGTAAACTCAGGAGAACCCCCGTGACACCTGCGGCATTGACACCCTCACAAGGAGGGAACCTCCCCCAAACAGACCAGGAGAGGCGCAGGGAAAGGGAGCCACCTGGATGTCTAGGAATTTGGGGTGCATCACACTGCACCGGGGCCTGTGCCTCAGCCACCGGGGCCAGACCCTCGCCTGCAGAGACCGACGTCTCCCCCCATCCCCCGCCTAGGGCCTCACCGCCTACCACGACATCTCCCTGGACAAGTGCTATGTCATCGAGCTCAACACCACCATCGTGCTGCCCCCTCGCAACTTCTGGGAACTCCTCATGAACGTGAAGGTGAGGGGGGCTTGTCCAGCTTGACCCTCCCTCCCAGCCTCCCCTCCTCCAGGCCTGGGGTGCGGAAGGTTCCCGCAGCAAAGGTGCTGGCCCAGGGGCTGGTCTCCCTCCTCCCTCCCCTTCTCCCACACTGTGGGAGTCAGTGCCTCTGCTTTCCTCTGCCCCCCTGTACCCTCCATGCTTCTGCCTCCCTCACCCAGGAAGAATCCAGCGTCCTTAGCGCTCACAGCCGTGCCTGTCGGCCGTGCAGGGAAGAGACGGGGGTGTGCCCCTAGGGGGGCCACGTGCACAGGCTCCTGTGAGGCAGGGTGGGCATGGGCACTAGCACAAATGGGGGGTGCCTGGGGGAGGCAGCGGGGCGAGGGTGGGGCGTCTGGGTAAGGGAGGTGGGCATGTGACATGAGGGGGCCCCGGCAGCGGAAGCCAGATGGCCACTGGGGGAGGCGAGCCTTGGTACTGACCCCTCTGTGACTGCCCCCTCTGCAGAGGGGGACCTACCTGCCGCAGACATACATCATCCAGGAGGAGATGGTGGTCACGGAGCACGTCAGTGACAAAGAGGCCCTGGGCTCCTTCATCTACCACCTGTGCAGCGGGAAGGACACCTACCGGCTGCGGCGCCGCGCCACCCGCAGGCGTGAGTGACCAGCTGTGCCCACTCAGGCCCCCGTCCTGGCTCTGACCCTGGGCTGTCCACTGGTGGCACCCACCCCCCGCCCTGGCTCTGACCCTGGGCTGTCCCTGGTGGCACCCACCCCCCGCCCTGGCTCTGACCCCGGGCTGTCCGCTGGTGGCGCCCGTCCTGTAGCCGGGCCATCCCCAGAGCTCAGAGAGCAGCGTGGTCACGGCTAATGCTGTGTGCCAGGCGCTGCTGGGAACTCTGTGCCCTTCTTAAAGCCGAGGCAGCTGAGGCACAGAGAGGTTAAGGAGTACCCCTAGGTCGCACAGCAGGAGGTGGTCCCCCTCAGCCTCTGCAGCTGTGGTCAAGGCCCAGCTCGTTCTGGGCCAGGACACCGGCCTCACCGGGATTCTCTGTTCCCTCCCAGGGATCAACAAGCGAGCAGCCAAGAACTGCAACGCCATCCGGCACTTCGAGAACACCTTCGTGGTGGAGACGCTCATCTGCGGGGTGGTGTGAAGCCTCGCCTCCGGGCCCCGCCTCCTTCCTTTCTCTCCTGCCACTCTGGCCTCTTCCCTGCGCTTAGCTTGTACTTTGGACGCCTTTCCTTAGATGTGAGTGTCTCCGAGTCCTCGCCCGCCCCACCCGCTTCCCCGTACCAGACCTTGACCTCTCGAGGCCCCACCTCTGCGGACCTCCAGGTCTGGGCGTGAGGGACGCCCCGAGATGTTTACGTGGCCACCATCTTGAAATGGGTCTGCCAGGGCCTGGCCCACAGCTGCACTGGCAACCTGAGGGGCGGACATAGGGGGTCCTGGGGGAGGGGGCGGGCTGGGGGTGCAGAATATGAAGTGGGTCTCAGAAATACCTGCACAGTTGGGCGAGCCCCAGAAGACTTTTTCTGGGGCATATGCCCAGGAACGGACCCACCCAGAGCACAAGGGAAGGGGCTGGCCTGGGGGCCTCCCTGGGACACCTGTCAGTGCCTTCAGCAGGAGTTTGGGGGTTGGGGATAAGTCAAGCACAATTGCTGTCTGAGTGGAACCAAAGAAGAGGGACCAGCCCGCCCAGGCTCCCCAGGAGCAGCAGGGGGTCCCCGCAGGCCGCGGGCAGAAGAAGGTGGCTCCTGCCTGGCCGGCACTGAACCCAGAGGCGCCTTGGGCCCTGTCTGAGGGCGGGGCTCGGCCTTCTCCAACTTGGAGCTGCCTTAGAAGCCCGAGGGGGGACACCTGGTACTTGTGCACCTGCCCCCTCTTATTCTCTCATTCCATCCCCTCTGCTTTGGGGGACGCCGTGTTCTTTCCTTCCCCTTCTCACTTTTGCATGTTTTTACTGAGGGTTCGCTAACCCGTCTCAGCCCCGACTCCTAAAGAGGACTTGGATTCCTCCAGCCAGGCGGTGTTCTCTAGAGATGAACCTTAAATGCTTTGTATATTTTCTCAGTTAGATCTTTTCAGAAGTGTCTGTAGAACAATAAAAATCTTTTGACTTCTGACTCTGACTTGGCAGTGGGGGTGGCTCTCCACCCCTACAGGCTGCAGGGCCGTGGGTTAGGGGGTGCCTGGGGACACTGTGGTAAGCGGCCTGTGTCCTGGCTCAGCCCAGGCGATGTCTCCTTCATCTCCATCCTCCCCAGCCGAGCTGAGCAGATGCACGAGTTGCAGGTGAGGGCGGAGGAGGGGCTGGGAGAGCTTACGTAATCAGTCCAAGGTCGTGCTGCCTTTAAGTGCCTCCAAACCTCCCTGTTGGGTTCTGCACGGAAGATGATATCATTATTGCTTGGCCTTTAAGTGCCCGGACAGTGTCATGTTCTCTACAAGTTCTGGGCAGTTAGTAAGCATTTTAGGGGAATCTGAGCTGAGACCTGGCATAAGACGCAGGGTCACATCCTACCAAGAAGGAAATGGTGGGAGCTGCCCACAGCCTGGCTTACTGGATGCCCAGGGGGACCAGGTCCTGACCTGGCAGGAGGATGGGAGTCTGCGCCCTGGGCCATCCTACTATCCAGCAAGACCGAAAGCCCAGACACCCTCTTTCTGGGCTCCAAAGGCAATCTTACAACAACTCGGGTTTTGTTACCTTTGCTAACCTGAATGCAATGCACGTACCGTTAAAATGCCAGCAGGATTAATTCTTTTATTTGGCATATTCCAGAGAATAGCCAAACGCTGAAGAAGGGAATGAGCGCTACAGTTACCAGCGCTGAGTGCCTGGTGGCCAAGGAAAAGGTCAACTAGGGAGGGCCTGGAAGTTGACTTAAATATAGGGAAATTGGTGGGGTGAGGGGGGACACGTGGGTTCTTAATGGAACAACTGGTTAGTCTTGACAAAACATTAACCTGGATCCTACTTTCCTGTAACAATTCTGATGGGTCAAAGGCTTAAATATGAAATGAAGCCATAAAAGTACTTGATTTAAAAGATAACCTCAGAAGAGGAAAGCGACTTCTAAACACGTGATGCCCGGCAAAGACAACTTGAACTCTGAAAGATCAGAATTACATACAGCAGAAGATGCCACACAGATAAAAGGCATGATTGTAAGCAACTTTTGCTAACATTTTATATTATGAAACACTGAATCAATACTAAATGTTATATGTAAATCAGTAATATGTGAGTTATGCTACTAAGATAAAATTCTCCGGTTTATTAGATAATCAAAGTGAGGATGTGAAGCAGACATTCCTCTTGGGGAGCTGTCCTAACAACCACTAGTTTGTATATATTGAGTAGATAAGGACAGGAGTCACTGATATTAAAAAAATGTAATTCTTGTTGAGGGGGTGGTTTCCTCTATAAATTTAGATCCTCCCCTTTCCTTGGTTATCTGGACCTAAAGAAATGCCAAGCTGCATGCAGATGACAACAAATGCTAGCTTCTGGTCCCGTCCCTGGTTTCTAAATTCGAGGTGGTAGTGGGGAGGCTGGGGTTCTTGTTTAAATTTTTATCCACTCTTGGTCACTAGTGGGGGTTGGTTTACCTGCGGGCAGCAGGCTGCTTCACAGGACAGGAAGTGAGGCCCGACTTGTACGCAGCCTATGCAGACCGCTTAGCTCTCATCTGCTGGGCTGGGAGGGAGCATTCCCAGAACATTCGCAAAATGTTCACTGTTAATATGCATAATGACAAATACATATCTGGAAACCCACCAGTCAGCTGAAGATACCCCTGAATTCTTTGCATGACCTCTCCCGCTGCCTCTAACAGCACCCCAGAACTGAAAGGGCTAACACTGCGATTTACTATTCTCCCCTAGTCTTTGGGATGATTGATGACTTCCAGCTGCCGGCTGGAGCTAGCCTTGCTGGCTGGCTGCTCCCCACTATGCAGTCAGCTGGAGGTTTGGCTAGGCCCAAACACCCAGGACAGCTCCTCCCTGGCCAGGGCCTCATTCAGCAAGGTCTCCAAGCAAGAGCATGGTCTTCCTGGCAGCTTGGCAACTGAGCTCCCACAGACAGAAAGCAGAAGGTGCCAGTCCTCATAAGGCCTGGAATCTGAGTTCCAGAACATTACTCCATGGCAATGTTGGTCAAAGCAAGTCACAAAGCCAGCCCTGATTTAAATAGAGGCATAGAGCGTCTTTGGATGAGGAAACACACATGGTCAAGATGCAAGGAATTGTTGGTTCCATTTTCAGAGATCCCCCCCGCCCCCCCAAGGTCATCCCAGCCTCTGCTCCCAACCCTCCGACCTCTATATCCTGTGAGGGACAAGATACAGGTCCAAAGGCAATGAGGGGAGCACTGTTCCATGGTGACATCACAAATCCTGTTAAGTTCTTGAATTTAAGGGGACTTCACCTTGAGTTCAGTTTTAACTGTAGCTATCGGGAGAATACTCTTTGGATTTAGAGAAGTTGTCTTCTTAACTTTCATTTTTAATCAGGGGTGAATTTTGAATTTTTTTCTCAAATGCTTTTTCTGCATCTATCAATAAGATCATGTTTTCCCCCTTTAACTTGTCCATGTGGTGAATAAATTAACTAACTTGGTCATGACGTATTATCTTGTTTCCACACTATTGGACTCTGTTTACTAACATTCTGTTCAGGGGGCCAGGATATGTGTTCATTAGTAAGACTGGCCTGGAATTTAAGGTTTCACTGGCCCCATAGATGAGTTGTGGGCTTAAGTTTATTGACACCTGGTCTTCCCACATGCGTCCCACCCTCTTGTACCAATAATGGTGGCAAGTTGGTTTGTCAAGAACCAAATTTTAAATTTTCCAATGCAATTCGTTTGGCTCAGTAATGTCACTGCTAGAAAACTGTCCTGTGTATATATGCTAACAAGGACACAAAACATCTTGATTGCTGCAATACCAAGAGCTAAAAACAAAAGTCCCTCAATTGGGGACTTAGTTGTTTTTTTAAGGGCAATAGTTTGTTGCCATGACAATACTGAGGCAGAACAATTTGTGCTGATGTTCCCCAGGTTCTCTGAGATCTATAATTAGGGCAGGGCAGGTGGCAGAGCAGGAATTTATATCCCCTTTGTGCATTTTCTAAAAGATTGCTATGTAGATGTGTATATATTATTTCTGGAAAGGTACTCAAAGCCACGTGACACCAGATACATGGAGAGCAGCGTGGCAAGGACTTTAGATCCTCTCCTGTCATAAATATCCTCTTTATAATTTAAGGGTGTGTGTCTCAGGACAGGCTCCTGCAGCAGCATGGAGGAGGACCTCCTCCTCAGCTCACTGAGTTTTACCTATCTCCCCTCCGGCCCTTGAGCCTGTCACCCATCCTGAAATGAAGCCTTATATTAGGCCCAGGTTTGGCCTGAAGAGTAGAGCAGTTGGAAATGTTAAGTTGACATAAATAGGAAGCTCTATAACCGCCTGCCGGTGTTGCTATGGAAACCAGAGCCTGGGCGGTCTCCATGGAAACCATTCTCAGCCTGCTGCCTGAAGGAGTTACCACCCACTAGTGTTGGAGTCTTATTTACCAGGGATCTTAGCCCTGCAACAAATGATTAGGGAGGGCATGGTTCCTGAGCACCCCTGGGGTGCTGGGGAGGCTCAGCACCCCAGAAGCGGCCTGGGCAGGAGCCTGTGCGGGGGATGGTGGGGACAGGGGGGGCATACCCTAGTGGGGGGCTCAGCACACACATTGCAGACCCTGCAGGCACTGCCGCAGTGTCCCCTGATGGAGCAGGGGCGCTCTGTCTGAATGTCTCCAGGTCTGGACCCTGCAGCATACTATACAACTGTGAGGGGCTGACATGATCTCTGGGCTCCGTTTGTCCCTGTGAAAAATTGGGAACTGTGTGGGTCCCCCTTTGAGCCCACGTGGCCAGGCAGCTCCCAGCTCAGAGGAGAGAGACAGGAAACAGCCCACCCTGGGGATTCACAAGAGCTTGGGAAGGTGGAGGGGAGGGAGGGAGGGAGGGAGGGAACAACCGGGAAGAGAAGCCCACCCCCCTCCCAGGAGACAGGCAGGGGGTGGGGAGCAGTGTGTGGGGCCCAGTCCCCTGAAAGCGTGTGGGGGCAGGAAGGGAGTTTGGAGAGCTGGGCTTGCCCCGCGCTGCACCCGCCCTGGTAGCTCATCCTTGCCGCGTGCAGCCCAGCTCCAGGGCCAGAGCCCAGGGCGCGGGATGTGGTCGCCCCACCTGCCGGACAAAGAGCCCCGTCCCTGGGAGCTAACTGTCCTGTCTGCAAGGAGGACAGGAGATTAGGGGCCAGGGGGGCCGGGTGAGGTGCAGTGGGGCTGGGGAGGGAGGGCAGAGGCCTGGCCCTCGTCCTTTCAAGCACTTCCTGGCCAGGCGCCACCACGGGTCGAGCACATCAGGCGGGCGTGGATGCATTCAGTCATCTCTCACGGGGCGTGCGGAGTGAGTGTGAGTTTCACAGCCTCAGATGCACGAGTGCAAAGGGAAATGCACTCTCAGTCACTCTGGCAAGAACAGGTTCGCCCCTTTCACAGACTCTAATTCTCCCTGCTGCCCGCCCCTCCCGCCGGGCCCTGCATCTGAGTCAAGTGCCTGGACTCAGGGGCCTCCCCACCAACAGAGCTGTGATGCAGGCAATGCGCGCTCTGATCACACTTTCTAGAAACAGCAACAGTGAAGCCAGCGTGCAGCAGGGGAGGGGGGGGCATTCTCCCCATGGTTCCGTGACCCGCTTTGCTTCCTAGTTCCCTTTGTAGCTTCCGGCTGCCAACGCCTTCTCTCCCATCCCCTCGTGATTCTCTGAGACACCCCGTGTCCTGTCGATACATCCCTTTCTGCCGAAATTAACCAGAATTCTTCCTGTTGCATGTATAACAGCAAGAGGGCCTTGTGGTTACAATAAGAAAACAACTCAGTTCTTCATGATTGTCAGGGAATTAAAAAGACAAAGTATTTTATTTGAGGTGCAAGTGGGACAGAGCAACCCCGATATAAAACGGGTTGCCTGACTGTGGGTCCTTGCTGGTGCGCTGAAGAGGGGCTAAACTGCAGGCACACACAAAGCCTGCATGGAGTTGGCTCAGGACATCCTTCCCCCCTAACAAAAGGATTA